AAGGGGCCCCTTCAGATGCCATCGCGGCTGCCCTCCACTATTCCCTTTCTCATCTGGAAAATGGAGACTCCTACACTCTTTATTGTCTACAGCTCCGCCTTCAACACAGTTGTCCCCCACAAACCCACCCACAAACTGTCCACACTTGGTCTGCACCCCAACCTCTGTGACTGGCTCCTGGACTTTCTGACTGGCAGGCCCCAGACCGTTAGGATTGGCAACAGGATTTTAGCCAGCATTGTTAAACACTGGCACCCCACAGGTATGTGTCCTCAGTCCCATCTTCTACACCCTGTTCACCCATGAGTGTGTCACCTCCCACAAACACATTATCCTAAAGTTTGTGGACGACACTACAGTGATAGGTCGCATCACTGCCGGGGACGAAGCAGCCCACAGGAGGAAGGTGGCCGGTCTGGTGTCATGGTGCAAGGACAGTAATCTCAGCCTCAACATGGACAAGACAGAGGAGATGATAGTGGACATGAGGAAGGAGAGGAGATCTCATCGGCCACTGTTCATCTGGGGGCTCGAAGTGGAGAGGGTGAGCAGCTTCAAATACCTGGACATACCTGACCCGGCTGCATCACTGTCGGGTATGGCAGCACTACTTCTATGGACCGCAAGCGCCTGCAAAGAGTGGTAAAGATTGCGGAGAAGATCACCAGGACTCCACTGCCCTCTCTGCAGAGCATTTACCACCGCAGGGTGTGTAGAAAGGCTGCCTCCATCCTCAAGGACCCCACCCACACCCAGCACGGACTGTTCGCCTCCCTACCCTCTGGCTGGAGGTTCAGAAGTGTGAAATGCAGGACCACTAGACTGTAAAACTCTTTCTTTCCCTCTGCCATCAGACTCCTAAGCAGCTGAGGAGTTTATTACCAGGAAATATGTCATGTAGTGACATACTGATGGCCTGTACTGTTTACATTCTCAGTTTGCACATGCATAATTGCACATTGATTGTTGACTACTGCACATACAGCTTCCATGTAGCACACATTCTCTTATTATATTCTTATATATTTTTATTATATCTCTTAATTTGCTGCTTTGAAGTGCCTTAGATTTTGTCTTACTTATTTATCTACTTTATATTTCATTTGTATTTTGTGGCATTCATGTGTATGGCAAAGTAAGAATTTCATTGTACAGGGAAACTTTTTTTTCGTGCTGTGCATATGACAAACACTTTGACTTTCATGAACCCGGAAGGTTTGTGCATCTGTTTCTGGTTTCAGATCAGGATCAGTGTGAGTCCTGTTGTTAAGTCAGTACGTGAACAAATAGAAAATGTGGAAAATTATTTGATGTTTATACGTTCACACATTTTATTGTTTGGGATTAAAGTTATAAACAGAACACATACACTATATTGCCAAAAGTATTTGCTCGCCTGACTCCACATGCACATGAACTTGAGTAACAACTGATTCTTAATCCATAGGGTTTAATATGATGTTGGCCCACCCTTTGCAGCTATAACAGCTTCAACTCTTCTGGGAAGGCTGTCCACAAGGTTTAGGAGTGTGTTAATGGGGATTGTTGACCATTCTTCCAGAAGCACATTTATGAGGTCAGACACTGATGTTGGACGAGAAGGCCTGGATCGCAGTCGCCGCTCTAATACCTGACCCGGCTGCATCACTGTCGGGTATGGCAGCACTACTTCTATGGACCGCAAGCGCCTGCAAAGAGTGGTAAAGATTGCGGAGAAGATCACCAGGACTCCACTGCCCTCTCTGCAGAGCATTTACCACCGCAGGGTGTGTAGAAAGGCTGCCTCCATCCTCAAGGACCCCCCCCACACCCAGCACGGACTGTTCGCCTCCCTACCCTCTGGCTGGAGGTTCAGAAGTGTGAAATGCAGGACCACTAGACTGTAAAACTCTTTCTTTCCCTCTGCCATCAGACTCCTAAACAGCTGAGGAGTTTATTACCAGGAAATATGTCATGTAGTGACATACTGATGGCCTGTACTGTTTACATTCTCAGTTTGCACATGCATAATTGCACATTGATTGTTGACTACTGCACATACAGCTTCCATGTAGCACACATTCTCTTATTATATTCTTATATATTTTTATTATATCTCTTAATTTGCTGCTTTGAAGTGCCTTAGATTTTGTCTTACTTATTTATCTACTTTATATTTCATTTGTATTTTGTGGCATTCATGTGTATGGCAAAGTAAGAATTTCATTGTACAGGGAAACTTTTTTTTCGTGCTGTGCATATGACAAACACTTTGACTTTCATGAACCCGGAAGGTTTGTGCATCTGTTTCTGGTTTCAGATCAGGATCAGTGTGAGTCCTGTTGTTAAGTCAGTACGTGAACAAATAGAAAATGTGGAAAATTATTTGATGTTTATACGTTCACACATTTTATTGTTTGGGATTAAAGTTATAAACAGAACACATACACTATATTGCCAAAAGTATTTGCTCGCCTGACTCCACATGCACATGAACTTGAGTAACAACTGATTCTTAATCCATAGGGTTTAATATGATGTTGGCCCACCCTTTGCAGCTATAACAGCTTCAACTCTTCTGGGAAGGCTGTCCACAAGGTTTAGGAGTGTGTTAATGGGGATTGTTGACCATTCTTCCAGAAGCACATTTATGAGGTCAGACACTGATGTTGGACGAGAAGGCCTGGATCGCAGTCGCCGCTCTAATTCATCCCAAAGGTGTTCTATCAGGTTGAGGTCAGGACTCTGTG